AAAAAAAAAAAAAAAAGATGAGTGAGACCTAGGGAGGTGGGAGAAGAGGCACCTAACTGTCCTCTTGGGAGTGGTATTCAGGCTCCTAAGAGGAAGATGCCTTCCAGGAGAGGAGGCTGCTGGGGATGGGGTGGCTGGCCAGTCCCAACTTCCTGTTTTTACTGCCCCTGGGAACCTGGCCATGTTGCCCTTGGCCAAGGCCCAGCTTGAGCTGTGGCAGTCTGTTCTCAAGGTCAAATAAAACTGAAAGGTAAAGAGTGGACATCCACCTATTCCATCCCTCCCTGCCACTCCCACCTCCTCCACAGCACATTGAGAAGTCCCCTGGAGCTGACTGGAGGTAGCCGTGCCCCAGCCCCCACCAGACCACAACATGAAGAACAAGCTGTGATTTTTGGCCCTCTTCCAGTTTCTCTTGATCCCAAGATGACTTAGGTTTCAGATTGACTGCTTGTCCTCAGAAGCCTCTCCTATACCTCCCAGGACAGAGAAGCCCTTAAAGGCTCACCTTGAACAGCAGCCCTGTGGACAGATATTTCTATCCCAGAGAAACAAGAGACCTAAGACCTCTTACTGGTCTTGCCCACACTGAGGCTGTTCTATGATCCCTGGTCCTCTGGTTTGGCTACAGATTGAATATCTCTTATTGGAAATAATTAGGACCACAGGATTTCAGATTATTTTAGATTTGAAAATATTTCTATAGCCATAACAAGACATGTTATGGATGAGATCCATAATATACTACATGTATTTGTCTCATACATACCTTACATACATAGCCTGAGGTAATTTTATACAATATTTTTAGTGCACCTGTGTTTTGGCTGCAACCTGTCACATGAAATCGGTTGTGTAATTTTCCATTTGTGACATCCTGTCAGCACTCAAAAAGTTTCAGTTTTGGAGTRTCCAATTTGGGGATTTTCAGATTGGGGAAGCTTAACTTTCACTAGCACCCTGTACACTGTAGCTGACCCAGGAAACTGGAGTTGGCCGCCTGAAGCAGTCTCAGGTATCAGCTCTCCAGCCTTATAAGCTCTTTCGACTTGAGAGGCAGTGGGAATAGGGAGGGTCTTTGTTCGTTGCCTACACCCATCCAAAACTTGTCCCCATTTTCTGTTTTCTACATTGTTTGTTTCAGTCCTTGGCCCTCACCACTGTCCAAACCTGGACTTTCTAGGTGCACTGTCCAGTGTGAGTGCCACTAGCCTCATGTAGCCATTCTAATTCCATTTAATTGAGGCTGAGGATGTAGTTCCATGGTAGAGCACTTGCCTAGCATACAAGGTCCTGGATTGGATCCCTTGCACTACAAAAAAATAATAATTAAATTTCATATGAAATTGGACATGTTAGCATACACTTATAACCCCAGCAATTCAGGAGACTGAATCAAGGGGACCACAAGTTTGAGGCCAGCCTCAGCAACTTTGCAAGATCATGTCTCAAAATAAAAAATAAAAAGGACTAAGATATAACTTAGTGGTAAAGCGACACTAGGTTTGAKCCCCAGTATTAAAAAAATATATCTTGTATGAGCCACATTCCAAGTAGTCAATCTATAGCCATACTACATATGGTCATACTACACCGCATAAATATAACACATTTCCACACAGAAAATTTTCTTGGACAAAATTGCTTCCTCTAGCAGTTAGCCACCTACATCACCCTCCATGCCTTGCCTGGATTACTGCAAAAGGTTTTTACCCAATCTCCTGGCTTCAGTACCTTCCTCCATGTGCAAGGTAGTATTTGTTTCTAAAATGCCTTATCAGTCTGAGTCACAATGGTACATGCCTGTGATCCCAGTGTCTCAGGAGGATTGCAAGACCAGCCTCATCAATGCCCTAAGCAACTTAGCAAGACCCTGCCTCGGGGCTGGGGATGTGGCTCAAGCAGTAGCCCCGCTCTCCTGGCATGCGTGCGGCCCGGGTTCGATCCTCAGCACCACATACAAACAAAGATGTTGTGTCCACCGAAAACTAAAAAATAAATATTAAAATTCTTTCTCTCCTCTCTCTCTCTCTCTCTCTCTCTCTCTCTCTCAAAAAAAAAAAAAAGGGATGGGGAAGTGGCTCAGTGGCTAAGCACTTCTGGGTTCAAGTCCCACTACCAATAAAAAAATAAATGTCTTATCAATTCCCATCTTCAATCCCCATGTGGCTCCCAATCACTCTTGCATATGTACAGCTTGTTGGCCTGCACAAAAGACACTCCATGATCTACCCTCTGCCCCTCTACCTGCCTTGTTCCCTGCCATGGGTCCTAAGAAATGTTGTAACCCACATGAAACTACCTAGACCTTTGACCTTGGGAGGCAAACATCSTAAAGCTTTCACAAAACAAGTCGGTGAACATGGAAATGACAACACTCTGGCTTTTTTCCAAATTCCATTTCCTTCAATTCATCTGTTTTCTTATTGCATGTTAACTGCCTCTTCAGTTTTTACTCACATTTCCTTGAACCTGAGTAACTTTGGCGTTAATAGGAGAATTTACTACAAGAATTTCAGAAATTAATTTTTGTCATTTCTGGGTGGGGAACACACTGAGTATATCCACAGCCTGGATCTAGATTATGGCTGAGTTAGCTATTTAATTGATGTGCAGGAACCATTTTCTTTTGAGACCTTTTCCCTTTCTCCTCTTTTATCTAGTTAATACCGTGAGTAGGCCTTAGTTTGAAGACCTTCCTTCCCAACCTGCTCCTGATAAAGGAGCAAAGTCATTCTGAAAGCTCTGGGAGTGGAGTGCCAGGYTCACTGAGATGTGTCTGCCTGCCAGAGAGAGGCTATTGCCTTGGCTCAGACTCCTTCCCATGACCCAGAGCGCTGCCCTCTTGCATTTCTCTCAGTCTGTCCTACCGTGATAGCAGGTGAGCTGTGTGGTATTATGATCATCCCTTATTTTACTTCCTGCAAGAGAGGAATTGTATCTTCATATCTGTGTTCTTTTTTTTATATACCTTTATGCATTAAAATTCATATTACACATATAGAGCACAATTTTTCATTTCTCTGGTTGTACACAAAGTAGAGTCACACCATTTGTGTCTTCGTACATGTACTTAGGGTAATGATTGTCCATTTCATTCCACTGTCTTTCCTAGCCCCATAACCCTCCCTTCCCCATATCTGTGTTCTTGACACAAACAAAAAAAAGACTCTACTTGTTGAATGAATGAATGAATGAATGATTGAATGAAAAATGGAAGCTTTGCTGGATATAATCGCTCACACCAGTAACCCCAGCTACTTGTGAGGCTTAGGCAGGAGGTTTGCAAGTTGGAGGCCAGCCTCAGTAATTGAATGAGCCCCTGTCTCAAAATAAAAGCTATATGTGGTAGAGCATGCCTATAATCCCCAGTGGCTCTGAAGACTGAGGCAGAAGGAAATGCAGGTTCAAGCCACCCTCAGCAACTACTGAAGGAGAAAGGGCTGAAGAAAGCCTGTACACACACCCTAAGCAATTTAGCTAGATCCTATCTCAAAGTGTTAAAAAAAAAAAAAAGGGCTGGGGATGTTGCTCAAGTGGTAGCACGCATGCGGCCTGGGTTCGATTCTCAGCACCACATACAAAAAGATGTTGTGTCCGCCGATAACTAAAAAATAAATATCAAAAATTCTCTCCCCCCCCCCCCCCCCCCCCCCCCCCCCCCCCCCCCCCCCCCCCCCCCCCCCCCCCCCCCCCCCCCCCCCCCCCCCCCCCTCTCTCAAAAAAAAAAAAAAAAAAAAAGCAAAAAGCTGGGGATTTGGCTCAGTGGTTAAGCACCCCTGGGTTGAATCCCGGCTACCAATAAGTAAGTAAATAAATAAATAAATAAGGCTAGGGATATAGCTCAGTGGTAGAGCGCCCCTGGCTTCAATCCCTAGTATTGCAAAAAAAGAAAAGAAAAATGGAAGCTTTTTCCAGACCACCCCTGTCTGCTATGACCTCTGGAAGTACTTACACTCTGAATTATTCATTGGATATCCTTTTTATGTAAATTAGACAATTTACATAAAAATCTAGATTCTAAGTTCTTMAGTCCCTATAGGTCAGGGAGAACATTTTATGTATAATCTCAGTACCTGGAACCCAACAGTTACCATTATCAAAACTCAGCAAGTACAAGAGCAGAGTTGCTGTCAGAGGGGTTGGGGGAGATAAACCCAGGAACTGACTGACCTGACCAGTAGTGATTTGCTTTGCTCCCCAGGGGGCTGTTGTGGTTCTGACTACAAACAGTACGTGTTTGGCGGCTGGGCCTGGGCCTGGTGGTGTATCTCCGACACTCAGAGGTAAGGGCCTGAGGGCTTGGGAACCTGTCATCATGGTGGGCAAGGGAGAAAAGTGTTTCCAGTGTTACCCCTTCACCCTACAGATCAGCTAGAACATCTGCCATTTGCTACCTCTGTTCTGGAAGAAGGAGTCCCATAAGGAATAGGTGAAATGGGCTGACAGGCATTCAGGAGGCACACTTCAAGAAGGTCTGGCTTAGGTGAATGTGGTGGTGCATGAATGTAATCCTATTGACTGTGGAGGCTGAGGCAGGAAGATTGCAAATTCAAGGCCAGCATTAGCAAATTAGTGAGACCCTGTCTCAAAAAATAAGAAGGACTGGACTGGTATATAATTCAATGGTAATGCACCCCTGGGTTCAATCCCCACTACCAAAAAAAAAGGAAAGAAAAAAAAGAAGGTGTGTCTTTAGACACCTCCTCCTTTCTGTGTGTTCTTTTTTGCATGAGAGGTGACATTACTTTCTGTCCCAGAGAATTCAGGATCATATCTCAATTTCCCAGTTCTAGCTTAAAGTTATTCAAGAAGTCTTAATTACACACTACATTTAAAGGGGGTGTACTGAAGGAGAAAAGGCTAAAGAAAACCTGTACACACACCCTCACCATGAAGGCCCTGGAATAATTCTAGCAGAGGCTAAATGAGAATAGATGTATAGTTAGACGTTCTCTGTGATAGTAGTGGGTTAGAGACAAGGAGGGGCAGGTGATCTGAGGAAAAGGTGCTGACACCAGGCAAGACAGGTCTCCTAAATATGTCTTGGAAAGAGTCAATAAAGGAATGAAGGTTTTAGTGCCCCAGATTGCTCTCCCTGCTGGTGCCTCCAGAGCCCAGGGTAGAACCAGACCTGGGCCCTCCTACTACCATACTGTCCAGCCGCCTTTCCTAGTGGGAAATGAGGGAGGGGTAGAGTCTTCTAGGCCGGGACTCAGGCAGCAAGGACAGYAAGCTATGAAGGAATGGGGGGGTTGGGCATCCCAAAGGGAAGCAATAGAAATTCCAACAGAAAATACTGCTCCATTTCACCCTCATCAGTCAGCAAAGAGAAGTCCATGTCTGCGCTGAGTTCCTGATGCTTGAGGCTCCTGGGGGTCTGCAGGTATCTACTAGGATCCGGGTCATAGAAAGTATGTCACAATTTTTTTTTTTTACCATYACTGACTTCCCGATAACCCCCTTCACTCTCCTCCCATCACTTTACGTTCCCTGAGGTGATGGATTGTGGCCCAAGGGTGCTTTTGTTAGGATTGTGGGAACTTCAGATCCAAGACCAAAACTATCAGAGACTGATCAATAATGGTTACAATGTCTACTCCAGAGGGTCCTAGGAACAGCTGAATGTGTCATTTGACCTGCCAGAGTCATGGGCCTCAGAGACACAGCTACCCACACAACATGCAATCCTAGCACAGCATAATATCTTATTCAAATACCTCAACTTATAGCCAGGCCTGGACAGTTTTGTGACTTGCCCAGAGACCTGTCTCAAGTGGGCATCCACTACTGGGGCAACACCCCTGCAGACCTTCTCCATGTCCTTGGTCTCCTACTCTCACTTTTTGCTCCAGGAGCAGAGCCCCAGAGTAGGATGGCCAGGCCTCCCTGACAACAGGTTTGGAAGTGAGAGATGGGAGGCCTTACCTTTTCCTAGGAAACTGACCTCAGGCTCAACATCCTCCCTTTGGTCCCACTTGCTGGTTAGTCTGTCCCTGCACCCCTTCCCACTCTATACCCCTTTCTGGGAGATAGCCTCTTCCCTTGCCCCCATCCTACTTGGGCCATCTCCGCAGGCTGGAGCCTTTATTTCCCTAGGCTGGTAGGATCCTCTCAGGTCAGAATAGAGGTTTTTAACTCAGCCTTCATACTCAGCCTCCCTTTCGAAGTATTTCACCCACCCATGATGTCAGCCATTCTTCCTCCAGGCTCAGTGCAGTCCCTCCTGCTGTACTTTGCTGCAACACCCTGTACTATCTGAGTCCCTGATGTGGGCAGCTCTCTCTCTCCCTTACCTAAGCAAGTCCCCCACCTCTGGCCTCTGAGCTGCAGCCTCCCATCTACCTTCCCTTCCTCCTCTTCCCCCTTCTCCCTCCCTCTCTTCTATTTCTTTCTTTCCTTCCCCAGAAGATAGCTTATGGGTTTCTGTCTGGGCTGGGTGGAGAGAGTCCTCTTAGGCCCAAGGGTGCTATTATTAGGACTCAAATGAAAGCAACCTTTGCATGTCTGCATGGCCAAGCCCCCAGGGCTGCCACTGTGTGACCTCTCCCAGGGTTAATGTGGGGCTCCATGTTGCCTACTGATCCTCATCCCCCACCTACCTGCTCCTGCCTTTTAGCCTCAGCCTCTATCTCCTCTTCCTTCTTTGGGTTTAAGGAACTCTTCTACACTATGCACAGTCTGCCTCTGCCTGGACCACCACCCTACACACACACATACACACACATATGCTAGAGTGGGCCAAGTAACTGCAAGGCACCTTATTTTCTTTGCCAATACTCTTTGTCTGCCTATGCTCAACTTTGGAAACTCCGAAGTGAGTAAGTCCATCATCTCCCATCCATCCCTGTGAATATCTGGCAGGAGCATACTTTCTTGCTCAACCTTCCTTGACCTCCTGCACCCCTAAATCACATCAAAACTTTTCTTTGGACTTTTCTGACCCTAAATTACCTTCTTAATGTTATGTAGTAGCACAAACCTTAAGGGTTTGCACCCCAAGCAGGATTCAGTATTTGCTCTGGCTCATTAATCCCCAGAGTGGCTGTCTTCTCTCAATTTCTAGAAACAGGTTTGCCTGTGTAAGGAGGGTAGAACTAAAGCTGTTTCCCAGATTGTGGCAAGAATCTACTAAGAATGTGAGGTGGTAAGCACCGTGAATGTCAGCTTACAGGCCTCGTGACCTCAGGCCCTGGCCCCCCAGGGTATTGGCAAGCATCTCCCCAGCCCATTAGCTCCTCATTGGAAGGGGAGGAGGGCTATAGAAGAGACCCAGAAGCCTCAGGCCAGCAAGGGGCTGCCTCTGCTCTTTCATAACCCTAGACCAAGCTGGCAGGGGTTTGAAGTGTTGAAAGCACCCCTGTCCTGCCCCCACATGTCAGGCATTGGTGCTTATCTGGTAACCACTCTGTGTATTTGCTGTGTCCCCTCCTACCCTTCCTGTCCCTACCTCTCCCTACCCCCTGGCTGCTTCTCAGACTGTCTCTGGAGGTTATGACCATCCTGTGTCGCTGTGAGAATATTGAGACGTCGGAGGGGGTTCCGCTATTCGTAACAGGGGTTGCACAGGTAATAACCCACCTGCTTCCTCTTCTGTATCTAACCTTCTCTCTTTCTGCCCTTTGGGGCCTAGCAGGCAGGAACTGGATGGACTCCCCTCCTGAGAGTGTGCCTCACCCCTCGTTATCCCCAYCTCTGTTGCTCTGGGTGCCAGGGTGAATCCCTGTAGATCTCCAGGGCACCTTCTTTTGCCCACTGGGGCTGCAAGTGGGGAAAAGGCAAGGGATTCTGAAAGCCCAATTCTGCCAGTGGGTGTCCTTAAATGCCAAGCCTTATTACCATGCAGCCATAGCTAGTGAAATCTGTTCTTGGCTAGAATGTTCAGCAACTCCAAGTGTGTTCTCTGTAATGTGCAGGTTCCTATCCTCATCACTTTGTTTACCAGTTCTCTGTTGAGCACTTTCTTGGATTCAGGCACTGAGAATGCAGCAATGAACATCCAAAAGCCCCTTCCCCTCAAAGCCCGTTGCTCACAGGTGCCCAGGCTGGAGAGGCCTTAATGGCCAGCATCTTGCACTTTCCTCTTCCTCATGCCTTGAGTTGCATTGCACCCTTCTCAGGCAAAAGTCTAGCACCACCATTCCCTTCCTCACCCATTCTTCCAGCTCTAGTCAGGAAAGACACCATCCCATCTCCTGAGCCATGAAGCACAGGTTGCAGTATAAGAGCCTGAGAGGAGATTAGAGACCTCTGTGGAATGGGTAGGGTCCAGGCCTCCCTCAACTGTAATTGAAGCAGCCCCAACCCTCCAAACCCACACTATACTTGAAACATTTCCCAGTGCCCAGGTCCTTTTAAGTTGAGTGAATGTGGATGCTTGAGGAGTTAGACTGCCTGGGCAGAACAACTCTTTCAAGGGTTAATGCTACTTAGCYAGGAGGCTTTGGTGTGACCCCAGCCAGTGTGACCCCAGCCTGTGTTCCCCATGTGACATGTTTGGTCCCAAGTCTTAGCCTTGTGGACTTCAAGTCATAGCCTCTGGCTAGTTGGAGGGATCAGAGAGAGCTTCCTGGCAAAGGAGGGGATTAATTCTGTCTTGGCTCAGGAGTAGGCATACTCCCAGTATGCCCACCTGCCAGGCAGGGCTTTCTAGGCAGCATCTTGGGGCATTTTGGGGTGCTGAGTAGACCCAGAGAATACGTTAGGGTACCTGAAGTATGTTCACATGTCATCCATGACAGCCTCCATGCCTCAGCCTGGAGTACCAGCACCTACCTGCTGTCCTATGACACACACACAGCTGCACTGGCTTCTTCCGGTTCCTGACAGCCCCAGACCACCATAGGCACTTCTTTCTTACTTCCTTTTCCTCTCAATTTAAACCAGGCTGACTTGAGCAGAGGACCTATGTGCACATGTGTAGCCTACTTACCCTCCTTCCCTGGAGCTGTCTGTACCCACCCTGCCTACCTTCTTACACACTACCAGCTACAAACCCTAGAGAGCCTTCCCCACCCTCCTCACCAGGATTCTTGGCCTGTCCCATCTGGAGTAGTGAGGTGGTAGACATTCCCCACACCTCAGGCCCCGGGCCCCCAGACCCATGCCCCTGTTTTGCATTTCTTGGCAGGATTTCCCTAGAGATTATGACGTTGCAGCCCCGCTGCGAGGACGTAGAGACGGCCGAGGGGGTAGCTTTAACTGTGACGGGTGTCGCCCAGGTATAGTAACTCAGCAGCCCCGCGCATGTCTGTTGAGGTGCCTCATCCCCATGCTGGAGTTTGGGGGGAGGAGGAGAGGACGGCAGCCAGGGGTAGTCTCTCCAGCATCCCTGCCATCCCACCCCCCAACGAGAGAATCGTGACCACTGGAACATGCTCACTTGGCCCCCTTGGCCACCCAGCAAGACTAACAGATACCCCTTCTCTCCTCAGTGGCCCTCGAGGGACAGAACCAGTGCTGAGGGCTCCTATCTCTCTAACCCAGTCCCATTCTTTGCAGGTGTTGGATATGCCCGGCCCCAAAATCCAGGCCTCACCTGTTCCCTGGGCAGGGAGTTAGAGGGATGGCCCAAAAGGAGAGGCCCTGTGAGGCAGAGGACTTGTGGGGTCAAAGGCTGTGTTATATCCCCAGCTAGGAGCCTGGGAGAGGTACCCCACCCTAATCCATCTCTGGACTTCCAGGGCAGCAAGGTTCTACTATGTTACAGGCCTCTGATGAGGGAGTTGGCTGAACACCTCCAGAAGCAAAGGCACCATCAGTTATATATCCCCTGGGACCTGTCTCCTGCCCCATCTAGGCTCTTTCATAGTCCATCTGTCTGTCTATGTCCCTATTGCTCTTTCTCCTTTTCATATTCTCTGCCCCTTAGCCTGAAGGTCTCCCACATGTGGGGAGTCTGTGAGGGAGGAGTTGGCTAATGAGTAAATAGTAAGCTGGAGAGGGAGGAGAAGAATTCCAGTGAAGAATTCCAGTGAAGAATGCCCTACTAGAGAGCTCAAATACACCAACCTACCTCGTATTCCCAGGGCCTGCAGGTTTGACAAAGACGGGGAGGGGCACAGCCACCATCCTCTGTACCTCTGGGTCTGGGGCTTCCATCTGTTTACCTCCAGCCTGAYTCAGGCACCTCTGTGACCCTGGCAGGTGAAGATCATGACAGAAAAGGAACTCTTGGCCGTGGCCTGCGAGCAGTTCCTGGGCAAGAATGTACAGGATATCAAGAACGTTGTCCTACAGACCCTAGAGGGGCATCTGCGTTCCATCCTAGGTGAGACCCTGCCCAGCCTCACATGGTTCTGAAGCCAGGGCCAGGGATAGGTAGCAGAGCTGTGCAGGGAGCCTGTTCCTCTGAGGTTTTGAGCTGAAACTTTTTCCTCAAGCATTTCATTTCAAAACTTCAGTTRGGCTGGGGATGTAGCTCAAGGGTAGAGTACTTGCTTAAGCATGCAAGAGACTCTGGGTTCAATTCCTAGTGCCAAAAAGAAACAAAAAACTTAGGCTGATTTGAGTGAGAGAGGGCTTTGGTATAGGGCATGGGAGTGGGATAGAGGGCAGTTTGCTCACATGTCTGGTGTCTCTTGGGACACTTCCTCATCCTCCAGGACTCTGCATAAGGCTCAGTATTAAACACTGTTGAGAAGAAACCCCAAGAAGACCCAGTTCAGACTGCATGACCCCTGTATGCACCCAGACTTCTACTTGTATGCTTTCTCCCTTTCCCAGCTGGTTGGGACCCTGGAGAGAAAGCCCATGTTCTCTCTATCCCCAGGGACCCTGACTGTGGAACAGATATATCAGGATCGGGACCAGTTTGCCAAGTTAGTGCGAGAGGTGGCAGCCCCAGATGTTGGCCGCATGGGCATTGAGATCCTCAGCTTCACTATCAAAGTGAGATGTGACAGAAAGTTTGTACCCTCAGAATCCGTCTGGGAGATGGGGATTGGTAGAGGTGGCGGGTGCACCTTTGTGTCCATGGCTGCTCCCTGGAATGACTCTCCCTTCCCTCCCCAGGATGTTTATGACAAAGTGGACTATCTGAGTTCCCTGGGCAAGACTCAGACTGCCGTGGTGCAGAGAGATGCTGACATTGGTGTGGCCGAGGCTGAGCGGGATGCAGGCATCCGGGTACTTGGGATTTCCTTTTTACCCCTGGGATTAGGGAACTCAGGGATGACAGGACTATGGTCCCTCAGGGGACTCTAAGCACCTGCCCCTCCTCTCAGGAAGCTGAGTGCAAAAAGGAGATGCTTGATGTGAAGTTCATGGCAGACACCAAGATTGCTGACTCTAAGAGAGCCTTTGAGCTACAAAAGTCAGCCTTCAGTGAAGAAGTCAATATCAAGGTAAGAAGCCAGGGCACCCTAACTTGGGGCTCAGGGCTCAGGACCTGGTGGCCAGCCTCTTAATGTGTTGACCTTCCCGTCACAGACAGCTGAGGCCCAGTTGGCCTATGAGCTACAAGGGGCCCGTGAGCAGCAGAAGATCCGGCAGGAAGAGATTGAAATTGAAGTTGTGCAGCGTAAGAAGCAGATTGCAGTGGAGGCGCAGGAGATCTTGCGCACTGACAAGGAGCTCATTGCCACAGTGCGCCGCCCGGCTGAGGCTGAGGCCCATCGCATACAGCAGATCGCAGAGGGTGAAAAGTGAGAGTTGCCTGGGTGCTGGGGCGGGGTTAGTCAGCTCCTCTGCTGTCTGTGTGCTCTCTCTGACCACAGTTGGGAAACCACTTTCCCCCATGTTTGTCCCTCCTGTGAAGCGGCATACCCCTACCTCCTTCAGTCAACAAGACTAAACGAGATAAAGAAGGCTTGAGTGCATGCCTGGTATAGTGTTTGGCACAGAGGGCCTCCCGGTCAGTCTCCTTTCCCAGGTGCGGGACCTCTCCCTGGCCTGAGCCAACAAGCCAGGGCACCCACTTCAAATGTCTCCTGCCCTAGACAGCCAACAGAACAGGACTAGAGGGTTTGTCAGACCTTATACAAGGTTTTTGGGGACCCTGGCACCTCCTGCTTATCTGCCTGGCCTGGGCTCCCCCAGGGTGAAGCAGGTCCTCTTGGCACAGGCAGAGGCTGAGAAGATCCGCAAAATTGGGGAGGCAGAGGCGGCAGTCATCGAGGCAATGGGCAAGGCAGAGGCTGAGCGGATGAAACTCAAGGCTGAAGCCTACCAGAAATATGGAGATGCAGCCAAGATGGCCCTGGTGCTGGAGGCCCTGCCGCAGGTGAGGCTCCCACCCAAAACTGGCACCCAAAGTTGGCACCCAGAGCTCAAGTATCCTCACCTGATTAGCAAGACAAGTGCCAGAACAATTTTGTTCCTAGTCAGTTACGCAGCCACCAGCTAGCTGAAAGGATTAAAGAGGGGAAATCCTCAGTAGAGGGCAGGAACCCTCCAATAGGCCCAGGCCATCCCTGGCCCCTAGGCCTTTCCTATTGTGGCTTGCAAATTAGAGCCACCCCAGCTATTTAGGGGTTTGGGTAAGAGAAGAGAGGGAAAGGTGCTGGATAGGGTAGGTGGATGGAGTCAGAATCTAACCATGATCTCATACCCCACCTAGATTGCTGCCAAAATCGCTGCCCCACTAACCAAAGTTGATGAGATTGTGGTTCTCAGTGGGGACAACAGCAAGGTGACATCAGAAGTAAACCGGCTGCTGGCTGAGCTGCCTGCCTCTGTGCATGCCCTTACAGGTGTGGACCTCTCAAAGGTATGTATCTGCTTGGTTGCAGTGGAGTTACCTGGGCAGCCCACTGGTCTGGGCATATGGGTCCAGGACCTCCACAGTCAAGGCCTCATGGCGTCTCCCATCTTTGCAGATACCCTTGATCAAGAAAGCCACTGGTGCACAGGTGTGAGGCTCCTGCAGGCCCACGCCCTTCAGCAGCCGCCCGCCCCTCCCTTCACCTGTTTTAATACCACAGGGACAACGGGAACGTTACTGACTCTGGTGCCTTATTTTGTAGGGACCAGAAGTGCTGCGTGTTTAGGCCATCTCTGGCTGTCTTCCCTTCTCTCCTGTCTCTTCCTCTTTTCTATCCTCACTTTCACTGCCACACTCATCTAATTTGTGTCTTTCCTCCCTCATTTCCCTGTGTGTTTCTTTCTCTCCCTTGTYTTCCCTCCCTCTATGCAGATCACATAGTTTAAGCTGAAGATGTTTATTACAATCACTGTCTGTCTGTGGGGGGTAGCCCTGCTGCTCCTCAGAATCCTGGTGCCTTGAAGTTCTTCCTGTATCCATCTGTCCTCCCTGTATCCCTGGCCAGAGTGCAGCATAGGTACAGGGGTTCTGGGTAGGACAACCTCTCTCCCTTCTCCTGGCCTGGTTTTCCCTGAATACTCCTCTAGGAAGTCTATAGACCACCCACTTTCCTCTAGACCTGCGTAGCCATGGCCTATAGGGCCCAGGGCCATTGCCCTTTACTTCTTCCCTCCCCAGGCCAGGCCTGCTCTCATTACTACCCCTTTCTCCCTGACCCCAGGGGCACAGAGGCAAGGCCTCCTGTCTATAGCAGCTTCCTCAGTTTACTACTGCCTTAGGAGGCCCTGCTTGTGCTCACAGAAGTTCCCTTCATGGAAAAGTCCCTACTAGGTGGTCTTGGTCCCAACTTCACTAAGCCTTTCTGGGGTCAGGCTCTGAACCTGTTGGAGACAGCTTCATGCTAGTGCTGCACTGTCCTGGGTATGTGACCCTTCCAGTGGGCAAGGCTGTGCCAACCCTGTACAGAATCAAGTGCCGTAAATTGGCCAGATCCCGTTTCCCCTTGTGCCATCTTTCTTCCTGGCCAGAGTGATAGGGTTCCAGCCATGGGAAGCAGCTCAGTCTTCTGTCTCATTGCAGTAGTGGAGATAGAAGAGACCAGGGCCCAAGCATCCCGCCAGGGGTGCTATGAGTGTCCCACAGCCCTAGTCCCCTACCTGTGGCCCTGCCCCAGCCTGTGTAGCTATTCTGCATGTGGATGCTGCATGTCTGGTCTGGGGCTTGGATGTTGCACTGCCCCACTGCCTGTCCCCTCTGGTAAAATAAAGATCTCTTATGTCATCCCTTGCATTGTGTATTCTGTGAGGGGAGAGACTGGGAATCAAGAATCATTCATACACACTTTTAGCATCAAGGCTGCTCTTGGCCTGTTCTTCCCCACCCTAGCCACAGGGGGGCATCAGCACACTGGCCTTGCCCACAATAGCTGTCCTGGGCCTGGCAACAGCAAGCCATGTGCTGAGGTCAGACCTGAGACATGGGAACTTGAAACAGGGGTTCTGGGTAGGACAACCTACCAGGTAGGGTTCAGTACCAACAACGACAAAAATTAGCCAAGTTTGACCTATTAGATCATCAAAATAACTCCATCCATCCAAAACAAACCTGAGACATTGCAAGCAAAAGGTGGAGAGTGCTGCCAGGTTTGTGACACCTATGCCAGTGCTGAGCCTTACTCAGTATTGGGACCCACTTCTCAGGCTTAATAGCATAAACATAAGGCTGCTCGGGATTAAATTTCAGCTCTATTTTTTGTTTATTACCTGTGTAATCTTGGGTAAGTAACTTTATCTTCCTGGGCCTCCATATTCTTATTCATTTTGCAAACTTATCAGATGCTTGCTATGTGAAGGGCTTTGTCTTTCATGCTAGAGAGACTGCACTGAACAAGACATGCCTAGCTTTTAGAGCTTGCATCCAGGTGGAAACAATAAGAAAAATTAAATATACGGTATGTTAGATAAAGGTAAATAGCAAGGAGGAAAATAAGGAAATGAATAGGAAGTTTGGGGCGTGCTGACATTTTAGGGCATGCTAGGAAGAGCTTAATAGAAGGTATGACTGACAAAGGCAAAGGAATGAGCCATGCAGGCACCTGAAGGGAAAGCTTTCCAATCCAAAGTGTGTGGCATGATCAAAGAAGGGTCAGTGCATGTTGGAAGTGGAAGGTGAGCCGGTGGAGTATTAGTGAATGAGGTCAAGGTGGAAACCTACTTTAAGATCACAGGAAGCCTTAATAAGGCTTTTTAGGGCCTTTGTTCTGACATGAGAAACCACTGGAGGGCTTTTAAAAAGAAGTGATATTATTTCACACATCTAAAAATATTCTTGTCAGGCACAGTAGCCTACAACTGTAATTCCAGCAACTAGGGAGAATGACGCAGGAGGATTGCAAGTTCAAAGCCAACCTCAGCAATTTAGCAAGGCCCTAAGCAACTTAGAGACAGTCTCAAAAAATAAAAAGGGGGCTGGGGATGTGGCTCAAGCGGTAGTGCGCTCGCCTGGCATACATGTGGCCCRAGTTTGATCCTCAGCACCACATACATAGATGTTGTGTCTGCCGAAAACTAAAAAATAAATATTAAAATTCTCTCTCTCTCTCTTTAAAAAAATAAAAATAAAAAAGGATGGGGATAGATGTAGTTCAATGGTAAAGTGGCCCCTGGGTTCAATCCCCAGTACCAACAACAACAAAAATTAGCCAAAGTTTGACCTATTAGATCATCAAAATAACTCCATCCATCCAAAACAAACAAACAATTAATGGTGTGCTTGCTTCAGCAGCACATATACTAAAATTAGAATTATACAGAGAAGAGCATGGCCACTGCATAAGGATGACACTCTAATTCGTGAAGCGTTCCATATTTTATTTAATGTTATCCTCTCTTTTTTTTTTTTTTTTTTTTTGTTTTAAAGAGAGAGTGAGAGAGGAGAGAGAGAGAATTTTTAATATTCATTTTTTAGTTCTCGGCGGACACAACATCTTTGTTGTATGTGGTGCTGAGGATCGAACCCTGGCTGCACGCATGCCAGGCGAGCGCGAAACCGCCTGAGCCACATTCCCAGCCCTGTTATCCTCTCTTAAAAGGGAGAATTGAGGGGTAATAACATCATAAGCCTCTCATCTACAAAGACTGGATGAAATATCACACTCCTGCTAAAAACACCAGAAAAATTAGTATTTTCATCAGAAGGAAAGACCTTGAATTCAAGAGACTCATGGACAATGACAGTTGCACTCCAYAGGAAAGAATGGAACCTTGTCAAAGCAACAAACACACTTTCTGTCCTTTTTCATGTAAACAGAGTTAGCAAAAACCACTCCAAAGCAAAAGCTCTCAACCCACATGTAGATATTTGCTTACTGTGTAGGCCAATAGCTATGAACTACGTTAGGTTTTTTAATTTATTTTTTTGAGAATTTTTTTTTTTTTTTTAGTTGTAGTTGGACACAATACCTTTATTTTTTTATTTATTCCATGTGGTGCTGAGGATCGAACCCAGGGCCCCACACATGCTAGGTGAGCGCTCTACCACTGAGCCACAACCCCAGCACCACCACCCCCTGAGGTTTTTTTAATTAATCATTTAAACGTTTGTACTTTTAAATATACTAACTATATAACTTTTTGTTTTTTCTGTTTTTCTTCCCCTTCCCCATTGCTGCATATGCCTTTAGAATTGATGCAGTATTACCATTAAAACATGTACTCTTATTTTTTAAATTTTTTTTGTGGTGCTGGGGCTCAAAGCCAGGGCCTAGCGTGTGCTAAAAATGCACTGGCCCACCCCCCAGCCCACTTAACACTCATGAAGCCACTTAGGAGCAAACTGTAACATTTTTAGGTATTGAAGTTTCTTCCTTCCCACTGTATCATATCACTGAAGCTACTATTCATTATTGGCAATCAGTTTAAATCAAAAAGCTACTGGATAACATTTGCCATTCATGTATTTTGCGGCACTATTTATTAGCATTTTGGCATGTTTGGGATCATAAAGAGAACGTATCACCTATGACTACCTACTTCAGTTGGGTCAACACTACATTTTTTGTGAACTATTAATGGTGCTTCTCACTTTCTGATAATTTTCCTCTTATTAAGTAAATGTATTAAAGGATATTTTCATAATGCTAGCCAACATGGTGGTCCAGTGATAACTGAGCAGATAAAGACCAGGTGTCCTGAAAGTTTTATTGCAATTTTAGGTTTTGGTAACTATGCCCTACTRTGGAAGTGTAAAAACTACAAACTCTTTCAAGGCATCATTTGGGGGTTTAATTGCATTTCTCTTTAACTTTATAAATTTGGATGTTGAGGGCTGGGGATGTGGCTCAAGCGGTAGCGCGCTCGCCTGGCATGCGTGCGGCCCTGGTTCGATCCTCAGCACCACATACAGGGATGTTGTGTCCGCCAAAAAATAAAAATATTGGGAAATTCTCTCTCTCTCTCTCAATTTTCCCTATTCCTCCCCTTTCTTAAAAAAAAAAAAAAAAAAAAGATGGCAAACATTGACTGGAACAAAGAATTGAGGGCTCAATATTTTTGCAAAATTAAGTTTAAGTTTGGGGGAGATGTAGTTTAACTTTCAAATGATGTTCTGAAGTTTGTAGCATTTATACTTCTACAGGTGTCAAAGCTTAAAATTGCACTAAAATTTGTGGAGATAAATAATAAAGGTTAAAAAAGTTTAAAAAAAAAAAAGTAYCCTCCTCTTTTAAAGTAGTTTTATGCAGGGTTATGTTGTATCTGCTTTGATCACCTAAGTTTCTTTTCTATAGATTTTGTAAAGGAAGATTATGAAAGATGAGTGTTAATTCACATGTAATAAATGAAAAGGAATTGGACCCTAATAGCAGGTGATATGAAAGTTGTTTTTTTTTTCTTTTTTTTTAATCCTAAGTGTTAACCTGGTTGTAGGTATCTCATTTCAAGTCCTACTATATAAGAGAGAACTTACATGAACCTTGGGAACCTCTACTTCAAGCAAGGAGTAAATAACATAAGAGATTGATAACTAAATCAAATTAGTTAAATTTGTCACCTAAATTTGAAATATAAAAAGATTAGTGGGGCTGGGGATGTGGCTCAAGCGGTAGTGCGCTTGCCTGGAATGTGTGTGGCCCGGGTTCGATCCTCAGCACCACATACAAAGAAAGATGTTTTGTCCGCCGAAAACTAAAAAAATAAATAAATAAATATTAAAATTCTCTTCTCTCTCTTAAAAAAAAAGAGGAAAATCAAGTAATGTTTTTTTTTTTAAATAAAAAGATTAGTGTTCTAAACTATGTGAAATCCATTTCTCTTTGTAAATGTAATCCTAGGAATCTTGCACTTATGAGCCAGGAATACTCTTCAATGTAACAATGCTTCATGTTGTACTGAGTGCTCCAGTTATCATTTTTAAATTTTTTTTCTTAGTTGTTGATAGATATTTATTTTATTTATTTATACATGGTGCTGAGAATCAAACCCTGTGCCTCACACATGCTAGGCAAATGCCCTACCACTGAGCCACAGTCCCAGCCCTGCAGTTTCCATCATTTTTAAAGGACAGACATAGGTGATAAATAATGGTATTTGAAATATTACAATCTACCACCTCAAGGAAAAAAAACATTATTTATGGAGTTCAGAGCTTGGATATTCAAATATTAARTGCAGTTTTATTTTTAAAAGAATGTTACAACTTATGTGGTTTTTATTTCTCATGTTTATATTAAAAGAAAAGCTAATAAAACCATTTTAATTTAAAAAATTCATGGTAAGTCAAGTACAGTCAAAAATGTTTACGATACATTAACAAAGGACTTGAATCTTATATATAAAAAACTCCTATAAATCAGTAATACACAACCCAATATGAACATCACCCTGAATGCCTTACTAAGAGATCAGTTGTTTCTTAYCAGTTGTTTCAGATCAGTTGTGTTTTATCAGTATTGCAATAATACGGATGAAATATGGAGACTTGAACCAATGGGGGTAGTGAAAAGTACTCAGATTCTGGATATATTTATAACCTAACAGGAGGTACTGACATACACAGTATGAGAGAAAAAAGAAATCAACAATGCCTCCAATATGTCATGTCCATAAATTTGAAGTCTTAGTATTTTAAAGATATTAATTCTCCCATATTTATCTATAGGTTCAATATAACCCCCAAACAAAAATTGGAGGGTGTAGCTCAGTAATGGCGCACTTGCCTAGCAGGTATGAGACCCTGGGTTCAATCCACAGCATCCCTTCACAATTTGAGAACAACCTCAGCAATGAAGTGAAGGCCTAAGCCATGTAATGAGACCCTGTCTCAAAAATAAAAAGGGCTAGGGATGTGGCTCAGTAGTTAAGCATCCCTGAGTTCAATCCCTGGTACAAAAAAAAAAAAAAAAAAAAAAGGAATCCACATCATGCCCAAACACCTCCCTGCCCTAAAAAGAAGAAAAGAAACCAAGAGAGTTTTTGTTTGTTTGTTTGTTTGTTTGTTTTCCTTTGGGGGTGAGCCACATCCCCAGCCCTATTTTGTATTTTAAAGACAGGGTCTCACTGAGTTGCTTAGTGCCTGAAAATTACTGAGACTAGCTTTGAACTCGCAATCCTCCTTTCTCAGCCTCCTGAGCTACTGGGATTACAGGCATGTGCCATGCCAAGAGAGAGTTTTTGTTTGTTTGATTTGATTTGAAACTTGTGGTTTTTGGTTTTGTTTCACAGTGCTAGGGATTCAATCCAGGGTCCCTCACTTGCAAAGCAAGTTGTCTATTATTGAGCTCAATAATTTGTTTTGGTTTGGTTTGGTTTTTGTTTTCATTCCATGGTACTGGGTATTGAACCCAGGGGCACTCTACATCCCCAGATCATAGTGAAACCCCACCTCAAAATAAAAAAAAATTTATTTTGAGGTGGGGTTTCACTATGTTGCTTAGCTACATCCCCAGACCTTTTTATTTTTTATTTTGAGGTGGGGTTTCACTAAGTTGCTGAAGGGGGCCTGGAAATTGCTATCCTCCTGCCCCATCTTCCTGAAATGCTAGGATTACAGGTATGTCTGGTTCCTAACAGATATCTAATAGGCAAACAAATTCTGAAAGTTCTATAAAGAACCAAGAATAAGCAAGAAAAACTTGAAAAAAGTAAAACTGGGCTGGGGTGTAGCTCAGTGATAGAGAACATACTGAGCATGCATAAAGCCCTGCRTTTGATCCTCAGTACTACATGAAAAAGATGAAATAGAAGAAGAGAAAAATCAGAAGATTCAAACTATCAAGTGTCAGGTCTTAAAGTAATAGTAATGAAGACAGTGTGATGCTGGCACATGGAATAGAAGAAAGAATCCAACCAGGTTCAGTAGCGCACTCCTGTAATCCCAGCAACTAAGGAGGTTGAGGCAAGAGGATCACAAGTTCAAGGCCAGGCTCAGCAACTTAGCAAGACCCTAAGTAACTTAGGGAGACCCTGTCTCAAAATAAAATATCGCTGGGGGAGGTGGTATACACCTGTAATGCCAGCGGCTAGGGAGGCCAAGGCAAGAGGATCACAAGTTCAAGGCCAGGCTCAGCAACTTAGCAAGACCCTAAGTAACTTAGGGAGACCCTGTCTCAAAATAAAATATCGCTGGGGGAGGTGGTATACACCTGTAATGCCAGCGGCTAGGGAGGCTGAGACAAGAGGATCCTGAGTTCAAAGCCAGCCTCAGTAACAGTGAGGCGTTAAGAAACTCACTGAGACCCTGTCTCTAAAATACATAATAGGGCTCAGGATATGGCTCAGTGGTTGAGTACTCCTGAGTTTAATTCTTGGTATCCCCTGCAAAAAAAAAAAAAAAAAATCAAAAAAAGTCCAGAAATAGACCCATGTACACATGGAT